CTTACCAGTTGCCTGTTGTTTGGTTGCAATGCTGAAATGCTTGCCGCATTATCCCGGGACTTAGTCAATGGCTTTTATTTATAACTCCCGAGCAGGATGGAAGGGACATGGAGGAGGGGAAGAGTGAGCGACTGTGCGTCCGCTCTGACAGTTTAAAAGCTTTTTTTAATAAACACCCTTTGGCATGCTTTGGGTTTTTCGGTCTGAGGTTTTTGGCTTTGGGTTTTATATTATTTTTTTCTTTTTTATTGGAATTTGATGCCCGTGCTGCGGTTGTCCACACTTTTGTTTAGCAATTTGGCAATTCGAGTATTTGATTGGTTTTTCGGTGTAAGGAAAAGAGAACTAACCAAAAGCGGAAATAAATGAAAGTGGAACCGAGAAATCGACAGAGTGGCTAATAATAACCAACAAAATATAAACCTGACACGAGGCAGTAATTCGAAACCCTCAAAGCCTACAGAAAATATTGCCAAAAGCCGAACCAATCAAATGGCAATGCAAATGTCAAAGCAATCATCGAGCTGCTGCTTCATTCACATTTTGCTCACACTCCAAGCGATTGCCGTTTCGCTTGAATCGTCCTTTTAATCATATTCCACAGTTTGCTGGCTCTCATATAGCTTTAACTTTTCCTTTTGCACTTGCAAAAAGGCAATTTTGATTCTCATTTGCCAATGTTTATAAAGTCTCACAGAAATGCACAAAATGCAAAGATTTTAGCTTCGAAATCGTTACGGTTCGAGGTAAAGTTATTGAATAATATCACTAGAGGCTCATTCTCAATAAATATATTTTGGAAGCATATTCTGAATTAAAAATTTCAAGCTTCACAATAACTACAGAGAATTCGGATACAGAAAACCACATAAATATTGCTCATACGCAATGTTGTTTAGCTATATCCATTTGCTTAAATCAAATAAATGTCATGTATACCTTATATACAACTATTTTAGCCAGGCTTAATACACTCTTATTATTAATAACCCGATTGATTTTCAAATGAAATTAGCAATTGCTTTACACACATACATTGCAGCTCCGTTTCCATTTGATTATTTGATTTGCATATTGGACGTATTTAATTAAATATTTAGACACTCAAAATTCTCTAATCAAATCATTGTATAGTCAAAATTAAGTCACATTGAGCTTGTGTTAGATGAGAT